TCGGGCTTCTCTGCTCCTCGCCCCGAAGGGTCCCGTCACCGCGCGGTGAGCGGCTGACGCTGAGTTCACGGGGCGGCTGTAAAACTGGCCCGGAGGAGGACGATGGCCGTTGGTACTCACCAGATAACAGCCGTCAAGGCCATGGTGGACGCAGGCAGCCGCGCCGTAGGCCGGCAAGAGCAGGAGGTGGGCCACGCGGACGCAGCTCCCGCGATTCAGGACACCGATTTCTTTCTGCGCCCCGCTTTCCTTGCGCGATTCCTCAGAAGAAGACCAAGAGAAGACGATTCCTTCTGGGTTTCTTTCACCGTTCGTTACAATAAGTATTGACCGTTGGGGGCAGGATACTGTGACCCGTCCTGCCTTTTCTGTGGACCCTTTCCTCCAGTTAACGCTGAACCAGCATGAAAAGTGAGGCTCAAAGCAGAGACGCGGCACGGCTGCCGGTCTCCGTGCCTTTTATCCCCTTTCTCCCTCTCCATCTGGTCCTGCTTCGTCATAAACTTGTGCCTTGCCGCTTATTTCCTATACACACAGGAAAACGGGTGTAACTAAAATCTAGAAAAAACCACCTCCTAGGGCACTAGAAAAGCGCGGAGGTGAAGGAGATAATCACTTTATCCTCTTCCTACTTCGTTTTTCTGCCTTCCCTTCCTCAGGCCCTTCCAACGGCAGCTGGCCAAATTCCAAGGAGAGCGAGAGCCGCCACTTCAGGGAAAACTACACTTTCTCGGCGTACTACCAGCACTCCTCCCCTGTGGCCGCCGTGTTCATCCTGGCCTACATCTTCATCTTCCTCATGTGCATGATCGGCAACATCCTGGTGTGCTTCATTGTGATGAAGAACCGCCAGATGCGGACGGTCACCAACATGTTCATTCTCAACCTGGCCGTCAGCGACCTGCTGGTGGGCATCTTCTGCATGCCCACCACCTTAGTGGACAACCTCATCACAGGTGAGTGGAGCAGTGGATGGGGAGCCAGGTAACACGAGACGAGACGTAAGGGCACAAGGGGAAGGAAAGTGATGGATACCGGAGAAATAGTCTCCTTTGGCCGGTGTGGCCTTGGTATTAAATGGGAAGGGGAGCGACAGATAACGCCAATACAGTTCTGTCCTGCAAACGAAATCTGGAGGCATTTTTTCTCCCATCCCTACAATTCCACCCTCAAAACTCCTTCCTGTGGGTGCTTTTTTATCCTGAGGGTGAGAAGGGCAGTCAGCCAGGTCTGGTGGAGGTATAAAACCTCGAGATTGCCTTCAATCTCTTTAAGAGGAAGGGACTCTAAGTTATTCTTATTGGGAGTTCTTTCATCTGTTCTTGGCCAGCGAACATGTAGATCACGCTCTAGTCTGTTCAGACTTTTCTTCTGCAACCACGAGGATTAAACATTTCTTTCTCTTCAAAAACCAAAAAGGAAAAAGAAAAGCTAAGATTCATGCAGGCATACACAGCTCCAAGGGGGCCGGGACAAAAAACCTCCCAAGGCTTGGCACCACCGCGGACGCTCCTGGAGATACAACGCATCTCTGCAGAACAACATGCAGAGCACTCGGACGTCCCTTCGGACAGGCCGTTCTCAACTGTCGGTGAGAAAAGGAAACAGCATAAGAGACCAGAGCAAACCGACAAAGAGTAACCAGATGAGCGCTCCTTTCCTACACGGGTCGCTGAGCCGTCTGACGGCTGGAGACAGAACTGCAAGAACCTCTAGGAGGACTCACTGGCCAATGAAGATTTTCTTTCCCGCAATTATTTCTGGGGGGAGGAAGCACCTGTATTTTAGCACTAGATTCTTTACTCTTTTGTAGCTCCCCCTCTCTCCCATGCTGGCAAGGCTCCAGGACATGCCAGTAAAGAGAAAGGACTGACAGTGTAGGGCGCAGCTCTGCTTCTGGGAGTCTGCTGGCCTCTGGATGCCATCGAGGGGAGCAGGGGAGGCAGATCCCACACAGGGCTGAGGTGAAACGTGAGTTCCCGCTTCGCTCTTTTTGAGCGCGTTGCCTCTCCCTGCTGTCGGCTTCATCAGCAAGAACGGGCCAAGTCACGGTTGCTTCCAGAGTTGTTTGCGAGCGGGAGAGCTTCTCCGCAGGAACAATAAACACCCCTTTGGACGACGGCCATTCAGATGGTCATAGCAAAAGAGAGCCCGAAGAAACCAGAAGAAAGGTCAGCGCCGGAGGGTTTTTTGAGGAATGGCCAGGGGTGGGTCTCAGCACCCTCCCCAGATGTTTCCAGTGCTTCACTCTTTGCCAATAGAAAGATTTTCATAAAGTCCAGCTCTTTCTTGCTGCCACTTACATCTCTGATTTCTTGTCCCACCCACCGGCGACATGAAGACCTTGACTCCATTTTCCTTGCAGCCACCTTCAACGGACCTGAGGGCCGCTACTGTGTTCCCCGCTCCTTTCTCCGGGTTCCTCCATCCCAGCATCTCCACCTCCTTCATCCCTTCAGTCTTCCTTGTGAGTCATCGGGTCTGCTCCACAGGCAACGCCGGGTCGGGGCAGGCTGCCTGGCACCTGGCACCCAGCAGCCAGGAGCACAGCAAAGAGCACAGCACCTTTTCAACAGAAACCCCTCGGGTGCTGCTGGTCTCCTCTCCCCATCCATCTCTGTCCAGCTGTGGGTTTGCTCGCCTGGGACGGGTTTCACTCGAGAGCAAGGCACTTTGCTTTCCAGTCCCCTCCCTACTCCTCACAAACGCCAGTTTTTGAAGGGCAAACTATGGAGCGATCCGCCTGATGCGGGCATGAAAGCTGCGCTGCTCTGAAGCCGCTCAGCACGGTCCTCCCGCCTGGGGGCTCTTCTCACACACACGGAGAAGAAAAACCCTCGGTTAATCTGGAGCATTTGCCAAGGCTGCTTTTAGCTTCTCCTTGCCTTTCTCAGCACAACTGCACCTTTTCCAGCAGCAGGTCGACAAACGAACGACGAGCGCGCTGCATTATATTTTTTTGCACGGCCGCTCCAGTGTCTGGGCTGTTCTGATGTTATCCGCCGCTGCCTCATCCAAGACTCGGCGCTTATCAGGAAAGACAGCCCGCCTCGCTGCCGGGGATTTGTCTCCCCTGCCGCCGTGCAGCGAGGAGACGGGATCCAAGTCACACGCCGCAGTCCCGGGACAGCCCGATGCAGGTTCACGCCGGGACCGCCGCGGTTTGCGGAAGGGTCCCCGCTCAAAGGGGCGACAGAGACCCACCTGCTGCTGCTCTTTCTGGGCAGGGACAGGATTTGGCAAAACTAAACGCAAACGCAGAGACCAGCGCAGATGAGGCAGCTCCGTACGGTTTATCTGTAAGAAGAGCAATCAAAGCAGATCAAATGCAACTGCACATCTAAGTCTGCTCCAGACCCTCTTTCTTGGGCGCGCGTCGGGCTGCGCGGGGAAGGGAAGCCCACGCCGGGCGCTGCTTTGGAGCGGGCCTGCAGCAGCGACGCATTTGGGCTCCCGGGCTGGGGCTCCCGAAAATGGCCCGCTGGGGCCCCGTAACTAGGAAGGAGAGGTTGCTCTTTCTCTCTGCTGTCTGCAGCCAGCACCTGAAACATGGCACCGAAAGGGACTCCTTTCTATCTTTTATGCCTCACAGGTAGCGCAGGTTATAAACAGGCCAAGCCGGGCCCTTAATTACATCTTTTTAACACTCCTCTCCCCCAACTAATAATTCTCATTACCTCTTACTACACATCTGCTTTTAAGCAGAGTTGTTGGTAATAAATTAGGCTAAAGTCCAGCTGTCTTTGCCCTCTCTGTTTTATCTGAGCAGTGCTAACAGAGAAAAAAGGCAATAAAGATAAAACTTGTTTTGGGGAAAGGTTATCACTTTATTTACAGCTACTGTTTTAGGGTTAAGTAAGTCTGGTCTTTTTTGAGTTTTTGGGCACTTTCTGGCAAAGTAAGTGTGCCCTTAACACTGCGTTTATATATTTCTTTCTCTAAAATTCAGCTGTGCTCTGAGAAGCGGCTTGCCAAGAACCCTCTTGTTGCACCAGTCTTCTCCTCGCATTGATTTAGCTCTGGCTGTTGACCTTTCTGAAGATAAAACTGCGGTTTACTGCTCCCGGTGCCTGCAGCATTAGCACAGCAAAGTTTAGCCGAGGCGGTAACCATCTGTGGCACAGTGCCGGGGCAGAGCCGGTTCCCAGAGCCGCAGCACGGAGATGTGCCCTTGCACAGTTGGACATCCCTGCCGGGGAGCAGGGATCTGCAGGGCTGGCCGGTCACGGTCAGCGATGTCCCGAGGAAGCTGTAGGAGCATCTAGCCAAGGGGAAGATGGCAGGAGCCCCTGTCCTGCCCTCCCCTCCGCGCCTTGCCCTGTGCCCCCAGCCTGTGCTCCAGCAGGACGTGCTAGGGGAGGCGACGGTGGGTCCAAATCCCACCCAGGCGGGCAGAGGTCCGTTTGCTCGTCTCTTGCTCCCAGCAGGTGAAATTGCATGGGATTTGTTAAGTGGGAGTCGCAGCCTGGAGCAGATTTGGTTTCGCACGGGTCTGAGTTTCCAGCGCTGTCCGACAGCAGCCTCGCATCCGCGCAGTGACCACGTCCAGTTTGGGAACGAGAGCGAGGACACGGCTGGCGGCAGCAAGCAGAGCTGCGCCGTTCCCTCCCGGTCGGTAGCAGAGCCCTGAAGGCAGTTCCCCGAAGGCGCGCCGGGTTTGTGCAGGACTTAAAATCCCCTGATTCATGTAAGAAGAGATCTTCAGTCCAGCACACAGGTAAAGGGCAAAAATATGAGTTTGAAGGATGCAAGTTTCAGAATAAAGGCTGAAGTGGGCTTGTCTCCTACCAAGTCAAACCCTCTTTGTAGGAAATAAAGCCCACACTTAAGTCCACATTCAGGTAAGGCAAGGGAAGAAGAAGCAAGCAACGCTTTAGACTCGGGCATTGAGCTCCTCTAGCTTCAAACGTGTCACAGTACGGTTTTCAGCCACACAGTATTTTAAAGGTAAAAGGGTTTTGGTTACATTACGGCCCCATGGTAACATAAGATCCCTTACACTACGTGTTGCCATAAGCCACGTCCAAAGTTCAGTATTTAGGTTATCTGTGTTTGTATCTGGTTAAATGCGGTAGCCCTATTTGTCAGACATTTGTTATCTCAATATAACATGGGCTCCTACTGTAATGACATGCTTGCACAGCACTTTGAATTGCTGGAAATATCTTAACAGGGGTCAAGATACAAGATTAAAGCTCTTATGATCAAGGATCCCAAGGCTGGTCCTCGTAATAACAGTTAGAGACCTATATGAATAAAAGAGAAACAACAAGGAAGAACATTTATAATGTCAGTTTGCTCTTAAAGTTTCTAAGAAACCTAATACAGATTCTTTTTACCTTTCTTTTTTCCAAGCAGCTGTACTGCTAAAGGCCATCTCTGTATGATAACAAGCCTAAAATTTAGTCCACCCTTAGGACCAGGGTTTAGCATTCCTTCCCCTCAACATAGGCCAGAAATCACACAGTGCATGGGGACATCTAGAGGAAGCTGCTGATGGATCCAGAGGAAGCAAGTGCATTTATAAACTCTGTTCTGTCCCTTCGGCGGGTTACCAAAAATGGAGAAGCCCTGCAGCAGCTCTACGGGCTGCCCAGCTCCCCGGCTGCGGCGAGAGCCAGGCTGCACGGGGCGACAGCTCGTCTCACGCGCCGCCAAAAACGAGCATCTGAAAGCGAGAAGTTAACGAGGGTTTCCCGCAGGCTCTGCGTGACGTATGGCTTAGGCAGCAGCCACCTCCTCTGGGGAAAATTTTGCTGCTCTTCTCCTGACGTTTTCCTTGGAGAAGAGAAAATTAGTCAACTCGGGTTCATAATCCCTCTGCCAGCTTGGAGCACTTCTGATGAGGGGAATCACGAGCCGTGACAGTCTCTTGGCCCACCTCGCCAAGCCGCGGGCAGCCCTGGGTCGGTGTTTCGTAGCCTAGCGCGGCCGCCTGACGCTCTCTGTGTCGTTCCAGGTTGGCCCTTTGACACCATCATGTGCAAGATGAGCGGCCTGGTGCAGGGGATGTCCGTCTCGGCCTCTGTCTTCACTCTGGTGGCCATCGCTGTGGAAAGGTACGTTGGCACAAGGGAGCTCTTCCAAGCCTTCGCCCTGCAGGGCGCAAGGAGGCGTGGGTCAGATCCAAGGTCTGCCTGGCTCAAAAGCCTCTCCCGAATAACGTTCAGGAAGCAGAACCAAGCCAGGGCAAGCATCCCGTGATATATCCCCTGGGAAACCTTGCAGAGACCCTCTTCATTTGAATGCGGGGAGCCAGGAGTGTTTTCCCCTCTTTCGCCAGGAGACCACAAAGCCTTTTGGAAAAAGTCCGGGGGGACATCCCAGCAAGGTGTCCACTTGCTGTTACTTCCTCTTCTCCCAGGCCCGTTCAACAAATATCCCAACAAACCCAGCTGTGTTTTGCTTGGTAAAAAAGCATGCCTTTCTTTAGAACGTCTTTCCATCTGAAGGTTAAAAATAGGAAAGTCACAGAGATATCACCGTCTCTGTAATCAAAAGTAATATGCAAAGAACAGCCCACATCTTTGCGTCCCCCAAGGGCATCTGACCCACAGCATCAGGAGGGAGCGCTCATCAGCGAACGCGTTACCCTAACGATGGCAAACTATTTCTGGTCAACCTCCCACAAAGCAGGGGCTGGCACCGAGTCCTGGCGGTGTTTATCAGGGAAGAGGTATCAGTGAGAAAACAGACAAAGCTAACGCAAACCTGACTTGAACTGCCTATGCTTTAAGGTTAAGTGGCTGTTTCCCTCCGCTCCCAAGGCAACGCAGGAATTGCTACAGAAAAGACTTCCCATACAAGAAAAGGGAAAGGTGCTTTTGAGCTTTTTGGAGTTACCGGCCGAATGGAGATTTCCTGGCACGTGTAACCCTTCCTTTCCACAGCTGGGCCTTGCTGGGTCGTCCCATCACCTTTCTTGCCAAAGGACATCCGGTCAGGGTCACGTCCCTCGCCCCACCGAGGGCCACGCACCACTGCATTAGATCCTGCAGTGGGGCAGAGCACTGTGGGTCCAGCACCCACGAGTACGTGAAGATGGAGATAGAGAAAACAAAACCGAAAGAGAGGAGCTTGCAAGTCTAACCCATGGAGGCACCTGGGGAAGGAAGAGCTAATCCTCTGGGACTCGAGGAAGACAGACTCTACGGACAGAGGAAGGCCAAGGGGAGGCAATCCCAAAGAACCAGCTGGGCAAGGCTGAGAGAGGGACGGACCCCGGCACTGCTAATGCAGGTGGCCTTGCTCTTGGGGGTCTTAGAAAGAGGGCAGGGGCGGTAAAGCACCACCCAAGCAGGGAACGGCAGCAGACGAGAGATGTTAAACGTGAAGTTAGAGAAGCTCCCGGGCCTTTGATCGTCACACCAGTGGAGGGAGGGGGGCTGCATGTACCCCGAGCGCCGCTTCACCTTCAGCTAGCACTGCACACGCAGCGGGACGGGGACAGAAAGGTGCTTTGGCCAGACGCGTCCTTTTCTCTCCCCCAGCCTGCGCTGGCACGCGTCTTTGGCAAATCGGCAGTCCCCAGCGCCGTCGCCATTTGCCTTCTGCCCTCTCCTAGGTTTCGCTGTATCGTCCACCCCTTCCGACAGAAGCTGACGCTGAGGCAAGCTCTGGTCACCATCGTCGTCATCTGGGTCCTGGCCCTGATCATCATGTGCCCCTCCGCCATCACCCTGACGGTCACGAGAGAGGAGCACCATTTCATGGTGGACACCTACAACAACTCCTACCCCCTCTACTCCTGCTGGGAGGCCTGGCCCAACACGGGCATGAGGAAAATCTACACGACCGTGCTCTTCTCCCACATCTACTTGGCTCCCCTCGCCCTGATCGTTGTCATGTACGCCCGGATCGCCTTCAAGCTGTTCAAGTCCGCGGCGCCCGCCCGCGGCTCCCAGGCGGAGGAGCCCGAGGGGAGGAGGGTCTCCAAGAGGAAGGTGAAGGTCATCAACATGCTGATCATCGTCGCCCTCTTCTTCACGCTCTCCTGGCTGCCCCTGTGGACGCTGATGCTGCTGACGGACTACGGCCAGCTGAGCGAGCGCCAGCTCCGCCTGATCACGGCGTATGTCTTCCCCTTCGCCCACTGGCTGGCCTTCTTCAACAGCAGCGCCAACCCCATCATCTACGGCTACTTCAACGAGAACTTCCGCAGGGGCTTCCAGGAGGCCTTCAAGGCCCCCTTCGGCTCCCCGCG